ATCTGCCTGTTCTGCTCCCTACTCTGTCTCTGGTGAATCCTCTCACCGCCCCTGTACCTCTGGCCTGTACCCCAGTTCTGTATGCATAAATAAATAAATCTTTACCAAAAAAAATTTACTCAGCTGAATTTTGCTTTGTGCAATATGCAACAGAAGAAAGACAAAGTGGAGGTCAGGACCTTCCCTGGTGGCGCAACAGGTTTAGGTGCAGCACTATGACACTATCTGTAGCCGATGCAGCACCAGTACCATCCCTGGCCAGGGAGCTGACCCACATGGCCCAGCAGACCTCTCTTGTCTTGCCTGCTGCTCCCCTCAGCAGTGTATTTCAGTAAATCTGCCTGTCCTGCTCCCTGCTGTCTCTGGTGAGTCCTCTCACCCCCCGCAGCTCTGGCCTATACCCCCCAGCTCTTGTATGCATTAATAAATCTTAAAGAAAAAAAAAAAAAGATGAAGCAGAGGTCAAAGTAAACTGCTCTCATATACTTTCAAGGAAGCCACTGGATCAGGAACAAGGAATGCTGGAGGCCAGGGCACCTGGAGCATTGTTGGGCCAGATGCTACTGTGTAGAATGCGACTCAATGGTTCTACAACACAGATTGTTATGACCACCTTTGAGAGACCCACCTTGCTCAAACCAAGAGTCCTTTATGGTAACTTTGCCTTGGGTCTGTGACATTCAGGCACAGTGCTGTCCTTGGAGTGGCTGAATGTAACTCGTGTACAAGAAATCACCCCTTCTGTCTTAGATGAACAAAAAAGACACACTCTAAAGCATCTAGTCCACTGTTCTTGTTTACATCTTTATTCTCGCTTTTTTCATTTCACTGCTCTTCCAGAAAGTTGGGAAGTATGGGAGAACAACATGAAACTGAAAAATCAGTTGTTGTTTTTCTTACAAAGGGTCAGAGTCCAAATGAAGGGATTAGAGAATTAAGGAGAAGTTAATGGTTAAAATTCAGTTGTGACAACTGTTGGCGAGGATGTGGAGAAAAAGGAACTCTCCTGCACTGCTGGTGGGAATGCAAACTAGTACAACCACTATGGAAAACTGTTTGGAGG